AAAAAAAAAAAAAAAAAAAAAAAAAAAAAAAAAAAAAAAAAAAAAAAAAGATTTTTGCAGCAAATGTGACTTTCTTTACAAGAATTAAACAAGATATTCTACAACAGCAGACCTTTTTTTTTCAAAATAGGACGTGGTTAATTTTCTCTAAACTCGATCCGTTCGGTTGTTAATCGCTATCTGTTTTCGTTTATCTTGGCTTAAACATGTTTACTTGTACTTCAAATTGCTATGTCTGTATTGGGAAAGAGGTTTTGGCTTACCGACCATGAGTAGAGCATACCAGACGTTCTCATCATAATGAGTGTAGTTAATACTATCTGGTGGCACTATTGCTACAGTGCCTGGAATTTTTGTACCAAGCTGTAGATGATGCACATCATAATTCACCTGTTACATACATTAAATCATCTCGTTACTAAATTTCGATTTGTAGATCGTAAAGTGATCACTCCTCGATGTAGCCAAAGAGAGAAAATTCTTAAGATAACAACAGCAAATGAAGATGAATAAAGATCATGGTAATTTTGTTTCAGTAACGTATGATAGTGTTGTTAAAAAGAATGGTTCATGGTCTACGTTCAACCAGACAGAAACAATCATTAGCTTTTATCATTAAAATACTTATTTCGTCAATAATTATGTTTGATTAAAGGTAATACTGCTAAATTATTTTTGTTGCTGTTTTGAGTCAGCATACGCATGGCGTATTGTAGTGGATTGTTGTGTCATTATTTTGTTGCCATACCAGGCAATACCCTCCGGTCTATGTGGTTTTAGGTGGCCTAGCCAACGTACCACCGTATAAAACTTGCATATATCAAAGTTATCATTCTCCCTACTACAGTTAATTTGTAATCAATTTTGTCTATTTTTTCCATTATATGTTATTCCATAATGTAGGTTGAGTTTGAATATATACCGGCAATCAATATCTACTAACAATTAATAAAAGTGTGAACAAAATCATTAGCAGCTGAGGGAGGAGAGGGCAATGGATTTTTTTAGTCCCCCTCATCATTACAAACTTCTCCGAATACAATCATAATTACTTTGTCTTTATAATGATATGTCTGATACGATGTCTATAATATTTGCTGGACTTTCGTGAATCTGAAAATAGCAGAATAATCACAATAATACCAGTCCTTTACCTGGAGCATGTGCTTGGGATAATTCACGTAGCCCAAATCCTTGTAAATGTCATGTTTAATTAAAGCTTTTTCAATCTCCTCTGCGGACAGTTCAGGAGGAGGTGTTCCATAGTCAAAAGCAAACGAATATAATACTTTGCTAAATGTGATTAACAGCTGAATCATCGATGTGCTCAAATAATGTATTTGTTTTTGGCACATTTTCGTAAATTTTTCGCTGCGAAAAAAACATTAATTTTGATATACTAACATGAATATATTAATCAACAATTTGGACTAAATGGCAGCATGTGCCAGACTCCAGGTAGCATTAACCCTGCGAAGAATATAGCTGCTATCAAGATAGTCTAGTTATCTTCGCCCAATAGTGTCCCTGAGTCATAAATTAAGTATAAACTGAATGTAGAATGTACGATGTTTTCCTTAGAGTTTACCATCCCAAGTAGCATTTCCCACAGGAAAAATCACGATATTTTGAAATTAAGTTTACGAGATTTGTTTACGATTTTCTGGCAATAATATTGCTGGGATCAACAACATCTGAGTGGATCATCGACACCTGAGCGATTATTTTTGATCTTGTCGCAATTATATCTCTTTATATCTCAATTGCAAAATGCAATGAAATTTACGTAACTTTTTATCCGATAATATTTTAACATACATCGACGTTGATTAAAACGCAATATATTCTCCGCGCAAAGCGCAACTTTTCGCGATCGCTGCCACTTGGGATATTAATGATTTTCAATTTTTGGAGATGGTATCAGTGAGTGTGCACGAGCAAGCGATAATAAAAGTGTAGCATTGAATCAATTGATGCAGCGAGCCACAAAATGTCATTTCCAATAAATGCAACGAACATCATACCTCACCGAACCACAGACGTATAGGATTTTAATAAGTACTTCCGAGTCGCCTTCTATATAATGAGGTTGCAACCCCTAGACAGTGGTGTTGAAATAATTGAACGCATTTAAAAACATGAATTTGTACAAAAACACGGAGCAGATAGCTCTGCATGTGGATGTTAAATTAAAACTGCCGAAATGCTTACCTCGCGGTTTGCGGCGTTGCATACTGCCTGTCATACTTTATTTTCTACATTGAAAATCATTGAATGTCATTTGTCGAAAATTTCAGTGATTTTTCCTCTCTTAATGAAGAATTTTCTGTGAAAACTTCAAGCTGTGATGTTGGTTTGGTCGCCTTTTAAAAAATGAAATAAGAGCGAAGATTTTTTAACATCTCAACCGAGCGCACTGCATTTTTGCAGTGTCGCCGTGGATATGACATTTACAATTATATAAGGCCCTAAAAAGCACAAGCATTAAATGAACATACTTTTACACAATTTAATAAAGGTATCCAGAGCTAATAATTTGCTTAAACCAATTTTCGCATTAAGTGCGGCCAAAAAAGGGCACTTCAGTGTTTGTCTAGAGTTCGAGAGTCAAGAGCCGTTATCTAATAAAGTTCGCATTTTTAATGTCCATTATCCAGATTGAAAAAACGCCTTAAGAGGATATCGTGAAAATGATCCCGCTAAAATGGATTACACTGCGTCATAAGTCTCCATTAGCTTTTTGTGCTCAGCGGAAAAGCCCCGTGCTTCTCCTCCCCTCGAATTCCTCAGAAAAAAAAAAATGACTCGTTTTGTTTCAGGTCTCGAAATTGAAAAGCAAAACAAACTGGCTAATCGGAAATGATAAAGACAAACGACGGAATGACGCTGCGGAAAGACCCCTAATTTGCGCTATAGTCTAAAATTAAGCCCCGGCCAGGAGCGGCGCGGAGAAACCGAAAGTGTAGCATTAGGAAAAAAGGAGCATCCCAGGGTGGTAATCTTCTTGTCTCGAAGAAAGGAATTAAGTGTAATGAAGTAGTCGTTACCGCACAGCTATCATCGTCCCGTAGTATTTTTATTAGTGCGCGGATAATAACACTGCCGTGCTATGGCAAAACAGCGTATGAACCATTAGGCGTTGCCACATTTCTTTTTAAAAATCACAAATTTCCGGGTATAATTATGAACACTTTTCCACCGATTTTTCAGAGAATTTCGCTCGTAATTCGATCCGAATAGTCTTATAATTTCAAGGAAAGAAATTGATAATTTTCCTCAAAAATAAACATTTTTTCGGAGGAAATTCGGCAACACTCGAAAGTTCATAGGACGTTTTTCCTTAGCACGGCAGAACAGCCGGTGACCCAACTCGGTTGTCTTTGACCGCTATTGGTCAATGTCCAAATGCCTCACTGTCGACCCGAGCTGCACCTCGAAAATACCTTTTCTCCGGTAATTCGTTAATTTTTAAGGAATTCCTATTTCATCTTGACGTATTTAAATCAAAACGAACTATCTCTGTTTCGTCATGGGCCCTGTTGTGCATGTATGATTATGGGGCTCGAGACTCAAGTCAAAATGAAAATAGTTCCTTCTGCTTTAAAGTCGTCCTTAGCTCTGAGACAATCGACGGCACAGTGGATTTCATTCACTCGGTGGGGGCCGAAACTTCTGTCTCTGCCGGAGAGGGGAGAAAGGGCCGCGACCTTTTTTTCCGGCCTGTGTTCGAACGAATTAAACCTCGCGACGCTTTGTTTTAGATAGAGTTTCCAGCGTTCGCTATCTAGTGTATAATCTCAGTAATTTCGCTGCAATCATTTTCTTTTCGATGCAACTGCCCACCACGAATGCCTGCCGGAGGAGTGGCTCAGAATGTTGATGCTTTTTCATAACTGCCGGAATGCGGGGAATTTTATCACGGGCATCTACGGAGGAGTTGAAAGACGGGTTGAAAACGTCGATTGTACAAATATTTCTCGGTAATGCCGGGTTTCAATAAATTGACATACGAGCAAACACGCTTAAACGCTGATTTTTATTCTAGGCTTTTTTTAAGCGGACAGGTGCAAGATTACTCTACGAGGTGAGGTATAGAATGTTTTGCTGAAAATGGCGTTGCGCAAAGATATTGCAGCCACGTTTCCTTAATAGTTGTTTTAATTTGTCATTTCTTTCTTTTTATTGTTCTTTAACCGTAATTGCTGACAAAAGGTCGCCTTGCCTGACGCGTTAAGTAACGCTGCATGAATGTAAAAGGGTGATGAACTGTTGCAACCTTTATTTGGTGAATATGGACATGTCATTTGATGGAAGCTGTAGAGCGCAAGGACAGCCAACAGCCAACCACTTTGAAATAATTTTATGGAAACTGCAAAGAGTAATGCAAATAATGTTTTTAGATAATGATTTTTTTAGGTTCTCGCGGATCAATATTGATTATAATGGTAACATGAAATATATTTCTAGCTACCTTTTTGGGTCATATGACATCTGTGGAGGCATTTATAAAAGCCTGGTGGATTATCAGACTTCCACATAAGTTCATACTCTCGCAATAAATATATTCCGTTCGTTCTATAAAATATTAAAGGGGCTTGAACGACAAAGCGCATAAGTGCAGTTTTTGAAAAAATTGAAATATTAATGATTTCATGTAAAACTAGTGAAAAATTCGCTCCTAAATTCCAATTTTAAGCATCAAAAAGTCAGTTTGACTCTCTTTTCGTCCTAAGGATTCTTGTAATTTAAATAAACACGTATTTCTCAAAATAGCAAAAAGTGCACTTATGCGCCTTGTCCCCTTAACCCTTCATTTGAGGTGTGCATGTAAACCTCACATCAATCCCAAACGTACATAGATAAGTTTCTAAACCTCGGATTTTCAAATGATTCTCTCTACACCAGAATAAAACATTGCTCTTTCAAAAATTAAGTTAAATGAATGTTACCTCTAGAATGAAAAGAGTCTGTAAAATTTTCCTTGATAGCAAGTTCAGCTCCAAGAAATCCACGATATCACCGGTGATGTTTGTGCAGTTCCAATAAGTTTGTACTTAAAGAAAAAACAACAAAGAAACTATAGAAAGCACTCTTTTATTAGAAAATTAGAGTTATTTTATTTCTTTGCAGCTAAAAATACATATAGTTCACTTATTTGTCTCACAATAGTTCGAGGACGGAAGGAGTATTTTAGCATTTTGATAAGCTACTTTTACCCTTCTGTTTATTCGCCACGTTTACTTTAACCTAACCTAACTCTTGGAAATTTGTTTTCCGCATTGGAACAAGGAATTTTCAACAAAGTAGCACTTCAAACCAATTCGATCTTAAACCAACAGTAAACACAGAGCAGTCGGGGTTATTTGTGTGTGTTAATCGGGTTGAAATTCTAGCTGGAAAGAAAGAAATGATCGAACACATCGAGCAATTTCTTTTCCATTTTTGACGGAACTCGTCAACTCTATTATACCACAGCTAATCGACTAACCGATCTTTTACATTGGTCCACAGATTAACATCATGAATTAGCTCGCGGAGATGATAACGAGGAAAACGCCTTCAAATTGTCATTTATGCTTCCCGGTCTGACAGCAGTTTGAGTGAGACGCTCTTTTGGCTGAGTCATTACACAGGATGATTAAAGGATCAATTGGAAAGAGGAATGACCCGTTTTGACGATATCTTCATGCATCTCATAAATGTTCCAGCTCACTAGTTTGACTTCCTCCTCCCGATTTGAAGTTATGAAAATGTTAAATGATGAAGTAAAAGGAAAACAATCCTTTGTCAGCTCCTAGACGAAAGGACGGAAAACTACAACGCCATGAAATTTCCACTCGCAACTTGCACTTATACGACGAAACTTTCTAAATTTATCAAACTTCACTGCTTTGTCATTTGACCGCGTACTAAAATTGGCAAACTTTTAGACAGGAATTGCAGCGCTGGGTGCAGAAAAGGCATTTCTAGGGTGCGCTGTCTCAGAATCTCCAGTGACGTTTCATCCATTATAATTAAAGCGAATGTATGACATTTTTTGAAACTTTTACTGAATTTTCTTCATGATTTTACAATGCTGAAACCGATACATTTCAGAAAATTTACGCAATAGTTTCCTCTCCAAAATATTAACTAACGGTGGAGAGTTCAAAACACCGCAACCGCAAGAAATGCCTTTTCTGCACCAAACGCCTCAATTGCAGAGTCTCATTCGTGTTAAAAATGGAATCGTTTGAATGACTTTTGCTAACTTAAAATGAAGGTAAGCTCCATCGTCCGTGGAAAACGACAAGTTGACCTCAAAATTGTGACACTTCAATTTATCTGAATAACTTGATTGAAGTAGCAAGTTTTTTTAAACCAGTATGTGATCATCTTATCATACGACCAAGATTGTTTCTTCTTATCTTAGCATACATTTAGACGATTATTCGGCTTCTACAAGTTTAATATCATCACTTTAAGTTACCACAAACGTTAAAGCTCGATGGAGTGTAATTGAGAGACTTGGAGGACAAGGCGCATAAGTGCGCAGTTCAAAAACTGCACTTATACGCCTTGTCCTTAAAGGCCCTCAATTCGTCGCCTTCCGGACATAAGGGCGTAACTACACTCGATGATGAGCCCCGTTGTCCATATAACTCAGTGCTTCCTCGGGCTCATCTCAAATTGTAGTTACACCCTTTTTTGTCAGCCAAGCGACGAATTATGTGTGAATGAGGTGCTCACACAAATACACCTCTCCTTTCAAGTTATTTCAAAGGGTAAACAATGCGCCAGTGAAAGTTACAAAGTAATAATTCAGAACAAACCGCACGTTTCTTTTTGGCCCGTCTCAGAAATAAAATCAAGTTGTGTACATACGAGAAAAAAATTAGTAAGAATGTGGCCCGTATACTGTGAATAACAGAAAACTAAGTAACAGGTTGTGTGCGGATGAACGAACACAGATTTGACTTTGGTAGATGAGTGAGATTTTGAAGCGTTGAACTATTTGAGAAGGAGTCAAGTTTCCTAAATCCAGCTTTCAAGATAAAGACTCCATCTCTTTTCTAGTCTAATCATTCCTCTTGCCTGTTGGAAAATTTCTTATTAGTCAGTTAGGAAGTCATATTGGAATTTGAGTATCAGCGTTACGCAGGGGGGCAAAAAGCTGAAGTTGCACTTTGAATGTTAGAACCTTCCTCAGTTTGAACATGTATGATGTGCCCGATTCATACTGTTGTAAAA